TTACTGCCCAGCACTGCTTTCAAAATATTTTCAGTTCTGCTACTTAAACTGTAACAGATTTAATGCTGTCAAAACCATGTAGAAATTCATCAGATCGTAGAGTTTGGCATTCGGAATATAGAATATTGTGGATCAATGTGTTTTTAGAGACACAATCTTTGATTCTAATAAGTACTTAATTACTATAGTTACCTGTGGTTAAATACTGTGCCCTTGATTGTAGGTGTCAGATTTCCAGGTCCTATTTGTGTCCACATTTGCTGTCACAACCACCTGCTTGGTTTGGTTTGGCTGTAAATTAGTGCTGAACCCCTCTGCCATCAACGTGAGTCTGTTTCTGGACTTTTTTGTGTGTGTATGTTAATATTGCAGTGCACAAACTTATCACTGATCTATGATCATATTAAGGCTGTGCGAATGAAATGCAGACCTGCGAATCACTTTCATACTTTGTGTTGCTTTGCAAATCTCACTTGCTCTGATTTTATCTGTAGTTTACAACACAGATGAATAAATTCACGCATTCTATGAATTATTTACCAGCTGAGTTCTTACCAGTACAATGCCAGTTGTGTAACTAGTTCCATCTGAAAAGCACATCAGACTTGCTCAGAACATATTTCTCCAGAATACGAAGAGGTACTTGAATTATTGAAAAGGCTATGGTGTATAAACCCTCTTAAACCCCTGACATCCACCTACCCCCCATGACCTAGATCAACTTCAACCTCATCCTGCTCATTCTCCTGGAGGTCCTGATGGCCAGCACTGTTATTCTATCTGCCCGCTCTGCAGAGGCTCGCTGCAGCCAAAAAAAGGTGTGTTGTGTGTCTTTAATCACTATGACACCTGCAGTTCAACCAGGATTTTTTTCACCCTCAATTCTAACACACCACATTGGCATCCTTTCCACTCCAGCTGATGACCTATGACAGACCGGTGGTGCTAACACCGCGGACCTTGCCTACCCGCCTGCTCAAGGCCTACTCTGTGAGTCTGCTAGCAGTGTGAAACTGTTCTCCTATCACATCTGGCTCTCCGGCTTCTGTCTGTTTGTGTTGCATCTATACTGTACAAAATATGGTATCAACAGATCTATACTATCAGAATAGTTGCTGGTAAGAAAATGCATAGTAAGAAAATAATTTCTGTTTCACCACACGCTTCCACTCAGGTAATTGAGGTGATAGTAGGCATCTCCGCTGTGTTCGGAGGAATCATTGCTCTCAACATGGATGCCCTCGTCCCTGGGCCCTACCTATCCGTCACATTTTTCTGGATCCTGGTGGCCGTGAGTTTCATGATGGGGGGGAGGGTGGTTGGTATTTTTGTCTTATTTCAGTTATTGAGATTAATTATAGCTTTTCCTGTGTCTCTGCGTGCCTGCAAGTGTTTCCCCAGCGCCATCGCCAGCCACGTGGTGGCAGAATATCCAAACAAGTGTCTGGTGAGTCAACCAGTCTCACACAGCTACAGCAGGCACCGATGAGTCATCACAGAGCGTGGTAGCCAATGAGTAGCTCTGAATTCTCACGGGAACCAAGCAACCTGGGAAACTTTAATCCTTCAGTTAATCATTTGGGAGGGAGAACATGTCTCTGGGCTGGCTATCAATTAGTTGAAAATGTAAATTCCTTGCCTATTGCTCTTTTCTGGGGTATTAGAAATTGATAAATGTGGTTAGATATTATAATTATAATAACATTAAAATATATATAGCATATAAAGTATTGCTTTTAGGTGACCTGGGCAAAAGCCAGCCCCATGATCATTGAAATAAAAAAAATTGCATGACATTTTATGTTTAATTACCATGAGTAATCACAACTACTTCTACATTCATACCAGAATACAAAAGTGAGCTGCTCCAAAAAAAGAACAAGTCTTCTGTTGTAGATTTCATGGAACATGAAAATAGTCATTACAAGATGGCCGCTGCTGACATGGTGAAGCTCAGATGTGGCTCTGCACAGAAAATAATTGTCCAGATCTGGGTTATTGAGTATAGAGTAGATCCTCGCCCCCGTTACTAAGCAAATTTGAAAGTGTTGTGTTCCTGCAAGTGAGGAGAACACTCTACCATATCCACATTTTTAGCATCTCACTGTTCATTTTTAATGAGTCTCCTTTTTCTCCCTTGGTCCAGTTTTCCCTCAGATTAAGAATGCACTGTAATCGAAGCAGGGCGGCACTAAGTGCCTCTCTGCCCCTCTTCTGCAGGTGGAGGTTCTGATGGTTATCAGCAGCGTTACGTCCCCCCTGCTCTTCTCTGCCTCTGGCTTCCTGTCCTGCAGCTTGCTGAGGTTCGTCGAGATCTTTCTACATGAGGTGCCCATCGCGAAGGTTAGCAATGCTATGCTACGGCAAGCTCCTGTCGCTCTGTAACTCACAGATAATAAAAGCATGGCGACATCGCAATGCAAAAAATTGCTATTGCGTTAAATAAAACCAAGCCAACGGAATATAACAGTTATAATTTCTATAGCAACAATTACAACATATTTGTTCTTAAGCCAGTGCAATATCTCATTTAGCAGTTGTATGTGTGTGTGTGTGTGTGTGTGTGTGTGTGTGTGTGTGCCCCCCCCCCCGCAGCAGTCTTACGACGTCCTGCTGCTCATCCTGATGGTGCTGCTGCTGGTGCAGGCTGTGTTGACCCTGGCCACCGTGCTGCACTGCGCATTTTACAAGACGCAGTTCCGCCTGGGGATGCCCGAGTGGGATGAGCGCCCGCAACAGCCCTCGCAGCACCTCCAGGTACACGCGCACTCACATATTTTATTTAAAGAATTTCTTTTTTTTTCTCAGCATTGGAACAGTCACTCTGTGCGCAAGTATGGGATTTTTAAGATAAATTGATTATAATACCAATAAAGGGGAAGCAACAGGTGAAGTGGATTGATAACACTGAAGGGGTGTGTGGCTCTGTGTTAGAACTGTGATCGGAAGGATGTTGATTCAAATCCTGTGGTTCGCAGAGTGATTTCACTGTTGATCTTGAGCAAGGCCCTTAACCGGAATTACTCCCAGGCGTGGCTGTACATCACTATATAAATGGTATGTAGCTCAGTTTTTCACATGGCAAAAACCCAAACAGACTTCTCTTTTTCTCTCCGTCAAACCCTGAAACACAGCAAAACACACCTAATGGGACTATGCATGAGTTTGACAAGGACAAAGCCTGGAAGGCGGTGGTGGTCCAAATGGCTCACTGAAGTGAATGGGGGACGGAGAGCAATGGATGGGGAGGGAATGGGTGGAGAAGGTGGAGTTATGTATTAGGACAGCTGGACAGAGGTGAGGAAAAGATGGTGTACCTATGTCTCTCTGAGGATTGGAACTCGCTTTAACAATCCGCTTACTTCAGTGCATGGTCCGTAGCCCAGACGTCATAGTCACCACCAGAGACACTAATTCTGCTGTGTATCACCTAGGCTGCTCTGATCCCTGTCACTCTGTCCATCATGTAGTGTTGTAGCCTTTCTCAAGATGATGTGTATATTTAGATTTTATATAAACGACTGTTTATATTAGCTAAGGTGGTTTGTATATTAGTGTAGATTTTATTTCAGTATAAATACAATGTATTAAAATCCAGGATCACTTGTTGTTTGTTCTGTGGAAGTATGGGTCGAATAAATCCAAGCTCAGAAACCCTGCAAAAAGTTCCCGACCCTCTCTGTTGATGCAAGGGATCAAATATGCTTATCATGGTTCTAATTTTGGATCATACTCAGATTTAATCTCTTTGCGGAGGTCAGAAATCTGCTTTTAAATGTAACCTCACAAAGAGCAGTCATGCACTGTTATACATATTTTGCTTGTTATGAATCAGAAGGAAAAAAGCACTGATCTATAAATCATGCTGTCAGTAAGAAAAAAATGATCCAATGCAAACATGAAAGCATTGAGGGATGGATACAAAGGTTGTGGTATTGGACGGCAACCAGGGGGTCCAGGATGGACCCTGTTGTGAAACTCTAATGTAGCTGTACAAATGCGTAACATTATGTTGTCCAAACAACTAAATATCTAAATGTAAGGTGAAAACACTGCATGTAACAAGGCTAAAGGGGTCACCATTCACTCATTTTAAAATGATGTTAATTTATTGGGAAACCTGGCTCTTTTTGCATGGTTTGAGGCTGCACAGATTAACAGACTGTTCCTCTGGGAGCTGTGGCTGTCTCACAGCTTTTATAGGCTAGGTTAAAGAACCAGAACATGCTCCAGAAACCTCCCCCAGTCTTCTGCTCTGACAGGTTGCCATTCCTGGCAAGGGAGGACCAGGAGAACCCCTAAGTTTCAGCTTGGAAATTTCAGTCTCTGAGGATATATACAGTTTAAGGCCAAAAGTATGGGCATACCAGCTTGTCAAAAATCTACTAAAAATCTACCCAGAAATACTAAAACTAAGGGTATTGATATAAAAATATATATGTTGGTTCAGCATTTGTTACTATAATAGCTATACTAATGTTCTGGGAAAGCACTCCATTAGATACTGGAACATTGCTGCAGGGATTTGCTGCTATTCAAGTTGGGTATTGAAGCCGAGATACAAGTTCCCTTTCTTTGAGCTTCTGTGGCCGACCACTACGCAACTAAACTTGCTTGCAGAAGTTTTGATCTTGACGATCACTTCTTTTGGTATTGATCATGATGGCTCAACCTGTCAAGGTAGAAACTTGGTGAATTAACTTATTTGAAAGATGGCATCCGTGAAGTAGAAAGTCATTCACCTCTTATGTACAGCCACCTGCTATGTACAACTTATGTACAACTATGGCTAATGATTGCTGCAGATTTCATGCATGCGTGCTTAATCTACATCAGCAAAGTACCTGTATTAATCTGTATGAGCACTGGATGTAGCTTAATTAGCTCATTCATATAGTTAATAATGGGCTCCCCATACCTTTGGCCATATAGTGTATATTGCAAGGGGGGAAATAACTTTCAATAAGTAAAATAATAATAAAAAACAAACTTCATTTTTTATTTTTTTATTTTTATTGGACAGAATGCATAAAAATATAACCAAACAAATGATCTGTTAGAAGTAGACTGTTGAAATACATTTGATCAAAATCACATATAAACTGTTAATACAAAATACAAACCCTAATAGAAATTGTCTCGTTTTCATGGTTTGAGTCTAAACAATATCCTACCCTAACACAGTGAGGCACCTATGGCATTGAGGACTGGAAGAAACTCTTCTCATTTTCCATTTGTTTACGAAAGATTGAATTAGCTAGGTGTTTATCGATTTTACGCTGATGTCCATCCAGAAGAGACTTGAAGTGCTTTGATGGGTCATGTCCGTCATTGTCTCTCTTGAAAGAATAGTATGCGTTCTTCTGTGTTATGCTTAGATTCTGTCCCAGATAAGCCCAAAGCCTGGCACATGGTAGCAAAGCCACTGCAAAGTATATTGGTTCGTATCCCTGCATCACCTCATGGTAAGTGTTCACATAGGAGACGATTGCCGGCTGAGGATGGATGATTGTCTGGTTCTGCACAGAGGAAATCGGGCGATGTTAGAATTAATGACAAATAATCAAGAATCAATAAAGTGTAAGTTCCTTAATACAATTCAATGAACATCCAATGATGATCAATGACCAAACACAGAAGTGTCTTACCTCTAATGCATACATGTTAAATAAAGAATTTGTGTATGCCTGGTAACTCTTAAATCGATTCTCAAAGAATAGTCTGAGGTCCTGTGGCATTCCCTCCTTCATGCTCATCTTTTGCAGCATGTCTGTGACATTCCTCAGGTAGTACAGATCCTGCACAATGAACGTCAAGTAGAGCTCTGCTGGAAGGCTTCCGTCCTGCATCCTCTGTAAAAACTTAGTCTGCAGTGTGTCTTTAACAATGTCGAGGTTCTTCTTCCACAAATCCTCATAAAGGCTGGAGCCCTTTTCAGTGTCTAAAAAAGAGCATGGTTGTAAAGATTAGCACACCTTGCCTTTAGAGTTCACGAAAAATCTTTAAACATCAATCAAATGAAACATCATAGGATACTCGTTTATCAGTACAAAAAAACATTTATGATTGGCAAAGAATTCGAGAAAAAAAGTATTTCGAAAAATAGGTGGTTTACTTACATTGTTCTGATGTCCTCTTGGCATGAGGGGATGCAAGAATGCAACTTTATGCAAAAAAAATAAATTAAAAATAATTTTATATATATATAAGTATAAGTATATATATATATATTTATATATATATAAGTATAAGTAATTTAAGGTATAAATCAGATGATTTATAATGCATTTATATAAGTGCGAACATGTTAAGGTATAAACAACAGCTATGAAATTTAAATTGTGCTGAGATAGTTATCATTACAATAAAATAATTACAACATACAATTACAATAATAAAAAGTTACAAATCAAGTTTAATTTTAACTGCAGAAATCCATTAGTAAATAAAAGGGTCATTATGAAAGTAACGTTAACAGTATAGATTTATAGTTTGATGAAATAAGTTGTTTCAGAATTTAATTTCATTAGACAGCTTAATTGATATAGATAATTCAGACACCAAATAAATTAATTGCATGTTTTGTACTATGAGAGGAAATTGGATGTTATGGAGAAAACCCACAAAAGCATAAAGGGAACATACAAGGAGACCCAGGGTAGGTAGGACTCGAACCCACAACCTAGCTACTTAGTCACCCTGTCAAAATAAAGAAGCTGCTAAAGCAGGGGTCACCAGCCTTTTTGAAACTGAAAGCTACTTCACAGGTACTGAGCCATACAAAGGGCTACCAGTTTGAAACGCCCTTCTAAACTTATCTAAAATTCATGCATAATAAACCATGTTGGTGACCCCTGTGCTAAAGGTATTCATCCTTCTATTCCACTGACAGCAGGAGCAGCAACATTGTAATAATACAGAAACATCAATCTTACCAGATGCAGAAAAAGCTGAAGATCAGCAAAGACTTCATCCTGATGTCAGGTTTGTGATATGTTTATGTGCTTTAAGTGTCTGTGATTTCATTGTCTTTCTCTCTGACTCTGGGTTTGTATTTATAGTGTAACAGTCACGTATCCTTCATTACAAAACAACATCCTGGAACATGCAGCAACCGTTTTCCCCACATATTACAACTGCCACTCGTAATTCATTTCTACACATAAATGTCTAAATATTTCTACATGTATTATGCCAGAGTAACCTTATTAAGTAGCATATAGCCATTGTTTTAATTTTTCTTTTAGTGTCTATATTAGTGTAGTGTAGGGGAGTAGGTGTTGTGGAGCAGGATGAAGCTAGATAAGTGAACCTGGTTTCTAGTCATTAAAATGCATGTGTGAGTGTTTGCCCTGTGATGACAAGTGCATCAGTCCATTGCAGGGCACCTGCTCACAAACACTGTGAGGTATATATTCATTCCTTTTTTAATCAGACTTACATTTATGTACACACAGGCCTGGACTGGCCATCTGCCATAACGGACATTTTTTTTCATTGGGCCAATGGGTTTGTGGGCAAGAAAATTCATCATGGAATGACATAATCAATGATGTTTGAAGCTTCATGTGTGAAGTCCCACCCAAATAGTTTATGAAATGTGTTGAATCTGACGAGTACTGAATCAAACAGAAATGCCTCACTTGTTGGTTTGTATTGAAAAGAGGATTGTGGATTCCGAGTACATAGTGTTAATATGGAGCCATTTTTATCAGTTTCGAAAAAATTCCAAACAAATATTTCTCACAATATGGTAGGTGAATTTTATTTGATATCCAGCCATTGCCATTTACATAGGCTAGTATAAAATGTCTCATGTGTTAATGTGAAATCCTAATCATACAATGTGTAATCTCATCTTATTCCACAGGTACCAATAAATATTATTCCTGAATAAAAATTCTTGACCTTTCTCTTCCAGCATAGGTTGCCTTATAACACCCACACTGCCCTCTCAGTTAACACAAGCACTGTTCTCAGATCTGCATTCAGTTTGCAGTAGCAGCATTAACACCTCTCTGCCGATTTTCAGATCCCTGTGCCCAGTTACGTACTATTCAATGACAACTGTCTGTCACAATTGCTATACAAGATCATATGAGACACATACAGTATGCTGGTGCACAGAATTAGGGGATCATAAGTGTTAGAGTGTGTGGTTTCAAAACTGCAATGACAAAGAAACACTAGGTTGTTTTCTGCATTCACATTTGCTCCTACATAATAACATTTTTAATAAAAACTATATTTCTTATCCCCAGTTCTATCCACTACACACAGAAAGTGGTGATAGTTCATGTTCTGTACTGCTTATGTTGTAAAGGGAGCAAGATGAAGGACGCAGGAGCATTAATCAAGGCAAAGGGTTTATTCTGAATCAATAGGAAGGAAAACAAAGGGATCGCAGGGGAGCACAGGACTGGGAAGCACTTATAACATGGACTAACAAGGAAGCATAATGAGAGGCAGCTGGAGGTATTCACAGAAGAAGCAGGAATGAGAGGTAAGACTAATACGCATACTAGAGAAGGAAACAGAAGGATCGGCTCAGCAAGGCATGACAGCTTAATTGTATTGCAAAACTGAAATAATGTTTTTTTGGTAACAAAGCTGAAAGACTCAAACTAAATTAATGCTCTTTTGGGAACTAGGGCTCTAAAGACAACGGCTCAAGTTAAAAATCTTCAGCATCCCCATCAAATCTGTAATTAAGGTATCATTTTATCATCTTCAAAATATGTCCATTTAACTGTATGCATTTTATTTCTTATTTCGTTTTCTGTGAAGTACTTTGAATGACTATTGCATTTGAACATGTTCTATACAAATTATCTTGATTGTTCTTTTGCCACAGAGTGGCATGAAGGAAAGACAATCCATGATTTTCAGAGAAAAAAAATCAAGCAAGAGACCAGAAACAATGGATGCAGGGGGGGGGGGGTAAAAAACAGAGCAGGTAGACAAGAACTAAAGCAGGCAGCAGCACAGGAACAAGCACACTGGGAAACAGAGTAAAGGTAGATACTTACAAAACATGAGGGCTTGAACAAGGGACAGATGCACACTGATTAGTCAACCATAAAACAAGAGACTAGAGGTAACAAGGAACATTTGAAGGTAATCATAATAAAATATTAGGGACTAGGCTGGGATACACTGGAGACACAGGAAACACACGTGAAACAGGACATTATTATAAAACTAGATACAAACAGAGACAACTGACTAAGGAACAAAACAGGGAGCCATACAAAAACACAAGAAACCATAATTAACAAGATAAACAGAACCTAGGGCACACAACATAAAATGTCTAACAAGTTTAAGCTAGCCACCCAGATAGAGCAGATGCTTAGTTCACAGCTGCCCACTTAGCCCATTTAGCCACAAGGCAGCCTAGGGAGAAAGGGAACATGATAAGAATCAAACAATGCCAAAAGCGCTACCTGCTGGCCAAATAGGGTTACAACATACAGAATGGGGCAAGATGCGGACTGATCCTGACAGTACCCTGCTCTCTATGCATGAACTCTGGTTGTTCAAGATACAGCCAGGACCACAACAGAGACAGGGAACACAAGACCAATGACAAGGAACAACACAGAGCTAGACCCAGAAATCAATGAAACTTGGGGACAAGATAGACTGAACTAGGACATTTACCAGAGGGGCACCAAAAAAGACCCCTCCTGGAGCATACACCTTATCGTGGTGGAGGGGTTTGCGTGTTCCAGTGATCCCAGGAGCTAAGTTGCCCAGGGCTTTATGCTCCTGGTAGAGTCACCCAAGGCAAACAGGTCCTGGGTGAGGAACCAGACGAAGTACGGCTCAAAAGACCCCATATGATGAGAAAAATACTGGAAACACGTTTTCCCTTGCCCGGACGCGGGTCACCGGGGGCCCCCCCTGGAGCCAGGCCTGGGGGTGGGGCTCGATGGCAAGCACCTGGTGGCCAGGCCTATACCCATGGGGCCTGGTCGGGCACAGCCCGAACAAGGCACGTGGGTCCCCCCTTCCAATGGGCTCACCACCCGTAGGAGGGGCCATTGGGGTTGGGTGCGTTGTGAGCTGGGCAGTGGCCAAAGGTGGCGACCTTGGCGGTCCGATCCTCAGCTACAGAAGCTAGCTCTTGGGACATGGAATGTCACCTCTCTGATGGGGAAGGAGCCTGAGCTGGTGCGCGAGGTTGTGAAATTCCGGCTAGACATAGTCGGGTTCACCTCGACGCACGGCTTGGGCTCTGGAACCAGTCTCCTTGAAGGGGGTTGGACCCTCTTCCACTCTGGAGTTGCCTGCGGGGAGAGGCGCCGAGCGGGGGTGAGCATACTTATTGCCCCCTGGCTGGGCGCCTGTACATTGGGGTTTACCGCGGTGGACAAGAGGGTAGCCTCCCTTCGCCTTCGGGTGGGGAGACGGGTTCTGACTGTTGTTTGCGCTTATGCGCCGAGCGGCAGTTCAGAGTACCCACCCTTTTTAGAGTCTCTGGAAGGGGTGTTGGAGAGCACTCCTTCTGGGGACTCTCTTGTTCTGCTGAGGGACTTCAATGCTCACGTGGGCAATGACAGTGAGACCTGGAGTGGTGTGATTGGGAGGAATGGCCCCCCAATCTGAACCCGAGTGGTGTTCTGTTGTTGGACTTCTGTGCTCGCCACGGATTGTCCATAATGAACACCATGTTCA